CGTTGGTGCTCTCGGCGATGGGCCGGGGGCAGCTCAGCTCGCAGGGGCCGCACGGCTCGCTGGACGACGACATCCTTCTGTGCTGGGAGGCTGCGTGAAGCGGGAAGGACTTCGGAACCAAACGGGCTGAGAAAAATAAAAATTATTACACTCTGACTGTGTCTGAAATATCACAGGGAAACAGATCAATCCATGGATGCCACCAAAAAAATCCCATTCTTTTATCAATTCCAGCCTTACTCTCACCATGATCGTTCTTGCAAGAGAAATTCTGGGCTGGGTAAATGAAACAAATCTGTCCATGGCAAAGATTCACCCAAAAGCTTAAGACCAGTGKAAAAGAAGTCAAGAGGTGCAGGAAATAGGTTAATTAAATGAATGAATTAGTTCAGAACTCGTGAGGATGAGCGACGCCACGTACCTGGTTCTCCGCTGGGATGGGAACAGGAGCGGTGGATGAAGGGCTGGGGGTGATCCCGGTTTTTATACCCTCCCCAAACCACCCTCGGCACCTCTCGTCCTCGTTTATTACAAAACCCACGCGACAGTGGGCGCCTCGATTCTGTCGCCTCAGCACCTCTCGTGGCTGTGACACAACCGCTGATGGCAATCAGCTCCCTTCGAGAGGAATCTGAGGGAATTTGGGCAACCTGGAGACAAACGGTGGCCACTGAGGCATCGGCTAAACCCTGTCCTTCTTCAGCCCCATTTTAATGGACATTTTAATCTGCTTTAGTCCCATTTGAATGGACATTTTAATGCTCAAGGAACTTCTTCCATGGTGTGGAGCTCTTTGTGGTGCCACCTTCGCCAGGTGAAGGTCACCCAACTGAAACTCAAATTTTGGATCGGAAGGGGTAAAAATTCTGCTCGCTCTTGAGTAGGGATCTATAAAGGTTGTCCCCAAAAAGGCAGAATTTGGTACAGCCAGAAAAACCCAATGGAACGGYTGATGTGATCTCCATCTAAAGCTAATTCCAAACATTACATGACTTTATTTGAAATCTCTGCTTCCAGAAGTTCAATTAGGAATACATAAAAAAAACTTACTTTTCTTTTCCCCCACCTTCAAAGTACTGACCACTGTAGAAAAAGAGACCATTTAATGAAGCATTATTAAAACAAAAATAAATTTTATTAGGATGAGTCTGTGAGTCTGGGATGTCCCGCAGTTATTTCTTTCCTCTCGCAATTGTTTTCTAATTTTACAATATTGCAAAAGAGAGGGAATAAATTACCCCTAAATTGTAAAACAGCYCTGCTTGTGAAGTGTCATCAGGATTTGCTGATAAATAATGAGAGGATAATGACTGTAAGCTCCCTCACAAATGCTCATTAATACTCGGTGCTGCCAATTTCTGTTATTATCCTATTAAATGAAGGATGGGAGTTACGAGGATTTGCCCTGAGTTAGGAGCTCCCTGGTTATGAAACAGCRTAATTTAAAAATACCAATGTCACTCCTCTTGATGCCATCATCAGCCTCTGATTGATAATTTCAGCGCTGGCAATGATTTAATTGCCATTCATTACATCGAATTCTTAATTTTATTAAATATTGGGGGGATTATGACAAATCCATGCTCTGGATTAACGAGTGTAGCTCCTTCTCCACTGATGACACAGCATTTTGATGAAATATCTTTATTTGTTAGGGGASAATTAAGAGCCCCGATTGTAAATCATGTGAATTTTCAGGCTTGATTGACTCTGTTGTGGAAAAAAGGGGTCACAAACTGATGTTTGAGTTCTAAAATATCTGCCATTGGGCTCTCACCTGTGAATGACCCTCTTTTGTCCATGAAATGGTATCTCAGAGCTCTCATTGGATGCTGATATTCCTGTGCTAACCCCAAATGCCAATTTCCAGAGGGAGTTTGAGAAGTCTTTCATTGTCCTGGAAGGACCCGGGACATCCCCGAGGTGTCACCACCTCAGTGACATTCCAAAACCAGCAGGGAATGGCACAGCGGAACCCACCTCGGAATTCACGAGTAATTCACGGCRTTTGAGCAGCAAACTGATCCCAAAACCCCTCATATTTCTGAAGCATTTGGACAAAAATGAGGTTTTTTCTCTTTTTTGATACCTGCTTCCCTCTCTCTGCTCATTTCCCATGGATTTTCACGGGATTCACTTCAAAAACACCCTTTTWAGAAGAGAGATGAACGAATGAATGAATTAATTAATCCGAACTCATCGAACCCAAAGCCGATGCTGGCGATGGCGATCATTATCTCATCTTTCRGCAGCTCGAGGCCCTCGAGTGTGCCCTGACACGGTCTCACGCCCGCTCGGCAGCGTGGGGAGTGGCAGTGCAAAGCCAGCAGAATTAAATCCCTCCGTGTGAGGGTGGTTCTGCCGCCGCGAGTGCGGGACGTGGGGCACGGAGGCTTTTTCACCCCGTAAGCATTTTGGGAAATGTATAAAAGCCGTCACCTCTCCGAGSTTCTCCAGCCGCATCTCCCGAGTTACCCGCCTCGGTGACCAGGGTAAGTCCGATTGGAACTCCTCTGTCCTTCTCTATCTTTCTTATTTTTCATCCAATTCGTTGGTGTTATGGATAGACAGATTTAAAATCAGTAGCTCTTAGAAGGTCGTTAGAGAATAAAATGTAAATTTTTACCTTTGGAAAAACCATTTCCCAGGCATTTCAGTCCCTATGAATGATTATAAAATTTAGAAATATTTGAGTGATTGGTATATTYTCCAACATGACCATTCCCACCTTSYGGRAATATTTCTCCCATAAAGGTAAATTTTCTGGTTTGGGAGCTGAGGGYTATGTGGGAAGGAATATCAAACKATAAAAATTGCTGGTTGTATCTGAYAKTTCTTAASTYGGTATYRMTATAWTCCTAWATTTCAGMTGCTCYTGATGAATTTTATAAAGAGATAAAAAACAGATCTATTGTTGTATTAGGAGTCTAGGATTCACCTGAGATGACACCAGAAGTTTTCATCTGTGTGTGACATCTCAGGGATCTTGTGAGCAAAGTGAGTCCAGAAAGGATTTTTGTGGTCAAGCAAAATCAAATTTGGAAGACAATGAACCCTTGGGCTCTCACGATTTCCATGGGAAAGCACAGGCAGAGTCAGGTGGAAATTTCTGGATCTGAAACTCTGTTTCCCTGTGATATTTCAGACATAGTCAATGCGTAATAATTTTGATTTTTCTCAGCCAATTTTGTTCCGAAGTCCTCCCCGCTTCACGCAGCCTCCCAGCACAGAAGGATGTCGTCGTCCAGCGAGCCGTGCGGCCCCTGCGAGCTGAGCTGCCCCCGGCCCATCGCCGAGAGCACCAACGAGCCGTGTGTGCGGCAGTGCCCCGACTCCAGAGCGCTGATCGTGCCCCCGCCGGTGCTGGTGACCATCCCGGGCCCCGTGCTCAGCTCCTGCCCCCAGGACAGCGTTGTGGGATCGTCGGGCCCGCTGTGGCCGGAGCGCTCCTTCAGTTCCCGCAGCGCCCTGGGCTCCGGGGGCTCCTTTGGGCTGGGGGGCTCTGGGGGTTATAGGGGATCCTCTGGCTATGGGGGCTCCTCTGGCTTTGGGGGCTCCTCTGGCTCCGGAGGTTATGGGGGCTCCTTTGGGTCCGGAGGTTATGGGGGCTCCCGGGGCTATGGGGGCTCCTTTGGATGGGGACCTTATAGGGGTTCCTCTGGCTATGGGGGCTCTTTTGGGTGGGGACCTTATGAGGGCTCCCAGAGCTATGGGGGCTCCTTTGGCTCTGGAGGTTATGGGGACTCTTGGGGTTATGGCGGTTCCCGGGGCTATGGGGGTTTCTCAGGCTATGGGGACTCCCTTGACTACGGCCGTTCCCTGGGTTATGGGGGTGACACCGGCTATGGGGGCTCCCTGGCGGGCTATGGGGGCTCCTTCGGAGGCTACGGAGGTTCCCTGGGGGGCTATGGGGGTTCCCTGAGGGGCTATGGAGGCTCCTTTGGCAATTGGGGGCGGCCCTACAGCTCCGGCTTCTCCTCCCGTGGCCTGGGCTATTCCCTGCCCGGCTTCCAGAGATGGGGCCGCTCCCGCCGCGGCAGCTGCGAGGTTTTCTAAAGCCCTTCACCGGCAGTGCCAGCCTTGAGGGGCTCGGGGACACCGTGGGGACACCGTGGGGCCGGAGCCGCTGTGCCGGGTGTGCCCTGAGCCCTCCATCCCCCGGGATTCCCTGAGCCCTCCATCCCCCGGGATTCCCTGAACCCTCCATCCCCGGGATTCCCTGATCCCTCCATCCCCCGGGATTCCCTGAGCCCTCCATCCCCCGGGATTCCCTGAGCCCTCCATCCCCGGGATTCCCTGATCCCTCCATCCCCCGGGATTCCCTGATCCCTCCATCCCCTCGCTGTACCCTGCTCTCTCCTCCCAGCGTTCTGTCTCCCCCTGGATCGCTCGGATTCCCCGCGCTCGGTTGTTGCTCTCCTCTCTGATATTAAACTCCTGTTTGCGTTGCACAAAAGCCTCTCTGGTTATTCCATTTATCCCAAATTTTCCTCCCGGGGGAAGGGAATATTCACTTTTGTGCCGCGAGGAAATGCCTGGAGCTCCTTAGCTGGCCAAGACCAATTTTGGGTCTTAATTGCCGCTGGCATCATTAGTGACCGCACTGGAATTACCGCACTCATTAAGCTGACTCCACATGTTTCCTCTCCCTTTACAACCTTGTCAGGAGCTTGTCTGCGCCCGAGGTTTTGTAAGACTCCTGTGGGGCTGACACGGGCGTTTTTCCTTAACAGCACTTTAAAATTATCTGATAAATTAATTAGAAGCCGGAGCCGGCTTGTTCCGGGGTTACYCAGGAATAAATGTATTTTCCAGCCCTAAATCAAGGGCGTTTGTCGGTCTGAGATGGATTGAAGGGGTCACGGATGTCTGCTGGGATCACCCAGGACAAACAGCGATTCCCCGACGGTTTTCCATTGGGAGGAAAGTTTTGGAATCAATCCCACATAAAAAATCACTTCAATTTAAAGCGTTTAGGAAGGAAATTAAATTCAGCTTTTAAGACTCGTGGTGTCGAATGTTCAAGAGTCAACTCCCAAACGTCCAATTCTGAGGAAAAATCAAAGGGACCGATGAAGATGCCGTGGGTGTAAACTCTAATCGAGCATGTTCTGGCCCTTCTTGAGAAAAAACACTTTGTAACGATTTCACAAACATTCATTATCTGCTGTTCAACCCAGCTCGTGTTCGGTGTTGTATGACACGGGCAATTTAGACATTTCACTCTTACACAATCCAGCTTTAATGTGCAGAAAACGTAGGTGGTGCCTGCCATTAATTAAATCATTATTTGTGCCATTGGAAAGCAAGGGTTAATAATTAATGCAGCTCTTCTTTCTTTTTTGAAAAAAAAAAAAATCCTTTCAACAACCGTGATTGATTCCTCTGTGAGTTAAAGACGCCACCTTTGCCGTATTTGCTGTATTTCAAAATATACTTTCCAAAAAAAAAAAACCAAAACCCAAACTAAATACATTTGTGATTGTTTCAAACGATCCTTTCCATTAAAAATAGGCATTTATGATTATTTACCCTCTTTCTGTGATTTTTTCATAGCACAGCCAGTATCTTTTAATCCAACTTTTAGGTTTTCACCTGTATCCAGCGCATTTTACTGACCCTTCTTGCCATTCCTGAGAAATCCCCCCGGGGCTGAAATATCTGCTCTTAATTCCTATTGGGAATATTCGAAATATTTGTTGTTGCGGGTCCAGGTTCACCCAAATATTTACGTTTTTTTCTGCCGGCGGTAAAGGATTCTATTTGGCTTTGTGGTTTGTTTGCTGCGGAAGGATAAACAAAGACTCTCCGAGCAGGGAAAGGGACGGAGCGGTGCCCACACCTCCCAGCCTGGGGGGATTTCCTTGCACGAATTTACATTTTCCATAAATTAACGCCGCGTAACCGCTGCTCGCTGGGTGTTAATGGCTCTGTCCGGGGTTTTTTTCTTTTGTCTGACAYGACATCTCGTTAGGCTGCTGCCTGCCTGGAGGATCCGGTGGAATTTGGCAGTGGAGGCTCGGCCGGGCTCGGGATTTACACCCAAAACACCTCTTGGAGGCTGAGGGGGGAAGCAAAGATCAGGAGCGAAACCGAGAGAAAAGCGTCGGTGTTTCCTAAAAATGTGCCAGAAGTGCCCTGGATGAGAGGGAAGAGGGGACAGGGAGGRTGAAGYRGGGRSAKRGAGGARAACCTGACAGGGAAGAGCTTTYSGAGCTGTGCCAGGGGAGGCTCAGGGTGGAAATTTGGGGAAATTTCTCCTGGAATGGGTGACCAGGYATTGGAAAGGGCTGCCCAGGGAGGATTGGAGTCGCCATCCCTGGAGGTGTCAGGCGAATGCCTGGACATTGGGGATGGGTCAGTGGTTGGACTCAATAATCTCAAAGTTATTTTCCACCCGAAATGATTCAGTGATTTTTAATCAAAGTATTCTCAGTAAGTTTTTGTTTTAGCCATAAACACGAAATCTTGTGTTCTTAAAAGCAGTATTCAAGACTACCATGGACTTATTTTCATTTCAATTTATTGCTTATGGCCATCCMACAGGTCCAGTCCCATATGAGGAAGGATATTGAAACAAATCTGTGAAAAATAAGATTTATCGTTCCTTGACACTGACCGAGACATTTTCTTTGAAAGAATCCCGGTGAAGGAAGAGCTAAATCCCCTCTCATACTCTTTTTTTCCTCACCTGCTGATGGGTTCAGCCAAACCTTCCCCGAGGCGACTTCACCAGGGCAGTGATTAAGGAAAAAAGGGAAGGCTGTGCCTCACCTTTGCTCATCAGATACCTATCTCAAAAATTGCTTCCCTTTGTTCGCCTTCYTGCCGTCATTCCTTCTCAGAACACRCTTTGGCAGAACTTGGGGCGATATTTTTTTAGCTTCGTCTTTGAAGGCAGTTGGGTGATTTCTAATATGTTTCTTGGAAGTAGAATTAAGTGGAATTCCATTACATTTTAATTAATGGAATTCTGTTTAATTGCAGCACGAATTAGCTATTAAAAATAGAATCACGGAATATCTCGAGTTGGAAGGGCCACACAGGGGTTGAGCTCAACCCCTGACCCTGCATGGACATCCCAAAAATCCCACCCTGTGCCCGAGAGCACTGTCCTTGGACTCAGACAGTTTTGGGACCATGATCATTCCCTGTTCCAGTACCAACTGGATGAAAACAATCGGAATAACTGCTGGAAAACYGACAACTGGAATAATTTATATAAGGCAGAGAGGAAAGACATCCCAGGCTGGTTCTGATGGGGATGAGATGGAGCTCTGAATCCCAGTCTGGGCATGGAGAGGAAAAACAGAGGCAGGTGTTGGATGCAGGAATGTTTTATTGYGAGGTCAGGGATGAGGACACACGAGGCAAACACAGGTGGGTTTTCCCTCTGTACCTCCCCAGGGCTGCTCCCTCAGCCGTGTCCGGACAGAGAGCAGTTTTGGGGAGAAACCAGCAGGTGATGGAGCCCCACATTCGGCCATGGGCGGGGATGGGGGAGAGGAGATCGGGCAAAGCACGGAGGAAACAAAAATCGGGATTTCTGGAGGGATTTCTCCACGGAGAGAGGTGAATTCTGATGTTCTGCCCCTCCCTCAGGAGTTCGGATGAGGATCCAAATGGAGTTGATTGCCGGGGTGAGGGATTTTGTCACCAGGTTCAG